AATAACAATATTTAACTAGAGTAAGAAGGAAATAACCCTAACTATATTAGCGGGTACAGATAACACAAATTAATAACAATATTTAACTAGAGTAAGAAGGAAATAACCCTAACTATATTAGCGGGTACAGATAACACAGATTAATAACAATATTTAACTAGAGTAAGAAGGAAATAACCCTAACTATATTAGCGGGTACAGATAACACCATTTAATAAAAATATGCAAATAATGCTAGTAGGAAAAACAGCCTGACTGTATAATCTGTTTTTCACACTAAGTGTATTAACAACAACAATGTAAATTGTAAAAAGTATAAGTATGGTGTTAACAGAGAGTTAAATCAAGTTGGTTATGAAATGCAGATCTAATCATAAACTTGGACCTATTAATTGGTACTTTTGTAGCTCTCAATCTTCTCGCTGAAATAAAATAAACTTTTCAACTAATAAACATAACAGAATGATAGGTGTGCCTTTGAAGTATTATTTACGTTTTATTTCTAAGTGACGGGAGATTGGTATGAGAAAGACTACCATTATGGGAAGAAATGGTACGACGGAATTACTTACTTTAATCCCTTATTCTTCGCTCGTCGTATATAAATGCATCGTACTTTATCACTATATACAAACATATCACCTTGAAAAATAGATAAACATTTACAACAATACGTTCCACAGATAAAAGACGAGGAAGTTTACAGATAATGATTTTTTGTTTAATATATAGTGAACCCAACGTACCTCTCGTTCCAATAATCCTCGATCGGCTCGGTCGGAAACCGTCGCTGTAGGCGTATTTCTCATGGCGATCAGTTCGTTTTCATTGTTTGCTTCTGTAGGCATTATCCACTTTTTTCGAAATCTTTGACAAACAATGCAGTGTTTTGAACACGAAAAAGTTATAATTATTTTAGAATTAAAACTTGTTATATTTTGACGTTTTTAGATCCAGCAATTGGGAAACATTCGAGATGGAAATCAAGCCTGAGAAAGTCCACCGTATTTTTTACGGCCAGCGCGATATTGTCCAATTAGAAATTAGGCTTAAGAAATATGGAACCGATACGACATTTGACGCAGATTTAACTGCCTTGTCTACCTAGTGGCTATTAGTATTAGAGTTGTTCAGTTTTGTTTCGGTCTGCTTTCACGTACACGTTTCAATTTCCATGTGCATACGTGGGATTGAAAAAGAGGGTGTTGCCGTATAGTCTGTTTCGTGTAACCAAGTGTTAAGTTACTTTAAAGTTTTAATTCATTGCGTTAGACTTTTCGCTAATAAGTATAGCTTGTGCTTCCCCCTTTTTTTTTCACAAATATAAATATTAGATGAAATATGTTAAGTGTCATGACTAATACAAATATTCATCTCCTATGAGAATAAAAAAATATCGGCTATTATAAAAGCTCATGCAGTGCAGCGCCATCTAACAAGGCGGGGCACCAACACCACTGAGGGTAGGTGTTACGACAAAGTTGCTGGTACTGTTACAGATTAGTGAAAACCACAATGAAATTTGTTCTAAAATCGTGTATTGTACTCAGTAGAAAATAAAACAATGAACTCTTTTTCCATTTTTAGTCCAATTATTATGGAAAAATAAATATTTATTTCCTGGTAATCGGTATTTTTCGGAATTACAATTATCTTCAAAAGCCAAGTCGTATATGTCACGAATAGCCAGTAAGAAAAATGTTAACAATTATGTTTGTAACTAAGTTGTTGTTGTTGTTGTTTTTGAAAAATAAAGTTCTTAAATATTTCCAGATGAATTCATTCCGTATTTCAAAAACTAAATTCTTAAATTTTTGTTTTACTTTAATCTAAAACGTCGGAGTATATTTGCTGTGTATTGAAATGGTTAAACCTAACATCCAACACTACTGTCAGGTCTGCTTTCATTTGGTAAAAAAACATATGTTGTATAGATCTTATTATTAGTTCGTGGACGAAAGTAAAAAAGCCTTTTATACTGTTCAATCATGTAGAAGTTTGAAGCTAAGTTACTGGTCAATCATGTAACAGTTTCAGGCTAAAATACTGGCCAATCAGTATAAGTTTCAGGCTAAGATAATGGCGAATCATGTAGAAGTATCAGGCCAGACAATCATATAACAGCTTAATGCTAAAATATTGTTCTGTCATGTTGTTGTTTCTAGTTAAGATAATAGCCAATTATATCAGTTCGAGGCTAGTATTCTGGTCAATCATGTAGCAGTTTCAAACTGAGATACTGGTTAATAATATATTGGTTGCAGGCTAGTGTAGTGGTCAATTAGATTAATAATATATTGGTTGCAGGCTAGTGTAGTGGTCAATTAGGTTAATAATATATGGGTTGCAGGCTAGTGTAGTGGTCAATCAGTTTCAGTCTCTGTTTTCTTCCAATATGTACATTTCAGTCATTAATAAATTTGTGGAGTTATTTATCGAACTAAGTGTGTTTCCCGTTTGTTTTCCTTTCCTTTTTTTTATAGGTTGACCCATAAATATTTCTCAAAGTAAATTATACAAAAAACAGCAAAACAAAACAGATTCGCCATAACCTGAAGTCCCCTGAACCGAAGACTGGAACACTTATGAATCTTGCCCTTACATACATAGATTTAAAAAAAAACAACTTTTGTTGAATATATTCTAGTAAAGTTTTCTATAATTCCGTGCTAGTGTTCTGTATGTTTTATGACATTTATGTTAATCGAATATCGTAAACACGTGCTAATCCTTTTACTCAGGAAAAGGTTGCATACTCCAAAAGCTAGAAACTCATATTACTTCGGCCCTTTGATGGTATTGTTGATACAGGAGACACCAGCAGTAATATTGATGCTATCGTTGTTACAGGAGACACCAGTAGTAGTATTAATGCTATTGTTGTTACAGAAGACACCAGTAGTAATATTGATGGTATTGTTGTTACAGGAGACACCAGTAGTCATATTGATGGTATTGTTGTTACAGGAGACAGCAGTAGTAACATTGATGCTGTTGTTGTTATAACGAACAATGTCATAAATCTATTAGGTCGTCAAGAAATTACTGTCGCGTTTTGGAACACTTTCATTACTCTCCCCCCCCCCCCGCAAAAAAAGTGCATCACGTATAATAGTTCAACGAACCGTCTAAACGTCACGTTAGTGTAGCCTGTATAATGTGTAAAGTTTAGTATACTCTAATCCTTTATAGTGATGACACACATTTGGTATGTAATGCTGTTTGAATACAAAAAGGGAAATAACGCCTCTGTAGCCACAACGAATATCAAATGTTTTGAACGTTCGTAAGTGTCAACGATGGTTCAGCAAATTTCGTTCAGGTTGGAATTGATATTGATGCTCTGAAGACGCTTGTTGAGTCTAACCCAAGGCAACACACTCGTGAAATGGCCCTGAAATTGCGTGTCTCTCACGAAACAATACGTAAACATCTAAGGAATATGGGAAAACTTCATAAAGAAGGTGTTTGGGTGCCTCACGAACTATCCGATGATAATCGTTTCTTCTGGCGCGTAATGCGCGTGAATCATTTTTGGACAGAATTGTCACCAATAATGAAAAATGGATTCTCTCTATACGAATATTAAACGCCAAAAACAAGGGCTCAGTCTTAGACAAAAACCACTTCTGATCCCAAAACCTGGGCTCCATCCACAGAAAGTGATGCTTTGTGACATCAAAAGAATAATTTATTTAGAACTCTTCAATACACAACGAACTGTGAATGCAGAGATCTGTAGTCAACAACTGGAACGTTTTAAACCAAGTCCTTAATCAGAAACACCCTTCACTTGTTAATTGGAAAGGTGTTCTCCTCCACGATAATGCACAACACAATATTATGGAGTTGGGTGGGGAAGTTCTCCCCCATCCACCATATTCTCAAGATATGGCACCATCAGATTACCATCGTTTTCGTTCGCTACAACACCATCTTAATGGGAAAACGTATGCAAATGTGGAAGGTGTTAAAGAGCACATCGACATGTTTTTTGCTTCAAAGTCAAGTGA